TTAAGTACCTACTGGTATGTAACACATTATCCCCAAAATTAGCAGCCCACAGCAACAAGCATTTATTATTGAACAGTTTCTGTGGGTCAGGAATCTGGAAAAGCTCAGTGGAGCAGTTCTGGCTCAGGGTATGTTGTGAGGTTGCAGTCAAACTGTTGACTGGGATTGCAGTCATCTGGGGCTAGGCGATCTGCCTCTGAGCTCACTCGTGATTGTTGGTGGCCGTAACTTCCTTGCTGGCTGTTGACTAAAAATTCCTCATCTTGCTATGTGGGCCTTTCCATAGGCTGCCTGTGTCCTTATGGCATGGCCCCTGGCTTCCCACAGAGCAAGCCATGAGAGAGAGAGAGAGAGAGAGAGAGAGAGAGAGAGAGAGAGAGAGAGAGAGAGAGAGAGCACGAGCGAGCTCAAGATAGAAGTCGCAGTCTTCTACACCCTAATCCCGGAAGTGGCATGCCATCACTTCTGCCTCATCAATGAGGCTATTCTGTTGGCCACACAGACCATCCCTGGTGCCGTGTGGAAGGAGACTGTACACTGGGGACCATCTTGGAAGCTAGCTCTCACTATGTCTTGTTGTATCCAGAAGAATGCAAAGCAGCAGAGGAACATATGTTTCTGGACAAATTTCATGGATAATATCCATTTATTAAAGTCATTCATTAATTAACCACTTATTAAGTGGTATTCTACTAACTTTAAAAGGTTATTGTTTAATTAAGAGGTGAATCATTCTAACTGTAGGCTTCTTTAATATACCTAAAATCCTGCTTCCTGGATGGCTGTTGACCAGGGGCTTCATCTTCTTGTCATGGGGTCTTTGATGGGATGATGAACTGGTCTCATTTGGACTTAATTCTAAACTTGAATAAATCAGAGTTCAGGGGTTGCTTTTGCAGGCATTGTGATTCCTAAATGTTAAAGAATGAGAAAGTTTAGAAAAACCTGTACTAATTTAGATAATAAAAAGTCAATATTAATTTCAATTTCTAACGTTTTTTCTTTTTCACTTCCCCATTCCCCCCGTTTTTTTTTTTATTAAGGTGGTCCACTTGGCTCGCAATCTTATATATTTTGGATTTTATAGTTTCAGTGAATTATTAAGGCTAACAAGAACACTTCTGGCTATCCTAGATATTGTACAAACCCCCATGTCATCGTATTTTGAAAGATTAAGTAAATTTCAAGATGGAGGTAAGAATTCTTGAGAAAAACTAGACTTTTTGATATTATGTGGAGGGGATATAAAGAAATAGATCTTCAAAGAAGTGGTTGTTAACATGTACCTGCCAATATAATTGTACAAATGAGAAGTAGTTTTATACTAGGACTTAGTGATAATAGGTTGGATTTACAAACATGCTTCTCTGTTTTCAATGCTAAAGCTTTGAAAGACAAATTCATAAGATCAATGAGTTCTATCTTTAGAAGGTGACATTATGGTCAATTCACTAGTGAAAATGTGTTGTTAAAATTAAAAACATCTTAATATTTATGATCGTTCTGGTATGTATCACAAATCATATGTGGCTATGCTTCATGGCAGGGCATAGAAAAATACAAAGAATGGGCACATTAAAGGTCCTACCAGAGAAGCAGTGAATGCAAAGCCAGTGCATAAGGCTGTAAGTGGAGTGGACAAGAGAATGGGCCTTTGAGTCAGAGGGTCTGTGTTCAAGTCCTGCCTTTACCACTTATTAATTCAGGCAAGGTAATTACTTTCTCTGAGTTTCTTTTCTCATCTGAGATATGAAGATGATAATAGTAATACCCTCCTCACAGTTTCCTTGTGAGAAGTGAATGTATACAGTACAGTTAAAGCACTCATAACAGTGCCTGTCTCATAACTCAATAAAAAGTTTTTTGGTGGTAATTGTCTTAGGATGGATGCCGTGAAAATACCCTGAGGTAGAGAATTGTTTGCAGAAGGCATACTGAAGAATGTATTCAAGCTGTATACCTGTAAGGAAGTGAGGAGGGTAGGACTGGGCTGACAGAGGTGACCCACAGTGCAGTTACACCTGTGACCTCAGCTGATCCTAGAGGGCGCTCTGGGGCTGGGTGGCTCTTCAGAGCTGTCACAGATTAAGGCAGAGGGGCTGAGTTTCGTATCCTGACATCAGGCAGGCACTGACTGCCGATGGAGCCATTGGCTTCATCATGGAGGTGGGGGTGACCTTGGGTAAAGCAGTTCCCTTTGACTGAGGGCCACTTCTAATGACAGCCGAGCCATGGAAGTCAATAGTCATGCCCAGCAACTGAGAGAGTAGATGCTTCAGTTCTAGACTGGAGAGAGCACACAGTGTGTCCACTGCAGTATCCATTACAAGATTCAAAAAGGAAAACCAGAAACCTAATTTCAGACACAGGAAGAAATACCTAGATGAGAATTATAAATGAGCAACTTCCAGGTAGCTGAAGTAATTAATTACTGCTGCCTAAATCTCATTTCCTTCTCCATCTTCCAGAAATTTGTACAGATCGATGAGAAGCAAGGTAAACCACACAAATCCCTCACTTTCACCAAGCTAAAAGACAGAGGACAATACAAACTTCAGTTATTTAAGTAGAAAAGTAACATCAGTTTTCAGTAGGGCTGTCTTACAGGTTCTGGCTACAAGCCTCTGTGGACAGTTAGGTGGTTCTGGGAAAACCATGTGGAAGTGACCAGAAGGGACTGAGTGCACATTACCCTCAGAAAGAGAGAGTCTGTGCTAAGTGTGAACATACTGAAAGAGAATCCAAGTGGATAAGAGCACTGAGTAGAGAGGAGGGGCCTTAGAAGCACACAGGTAGCAGTTATAGAAAAATAATGCTCCTAGGAATGAATGAGGTCAATGCCCAGGAGAGGCACTCTTCAGAGTCTTGTTGGTGGAGGTAAAAAGAAGCAAGGTAGGGAGATCCGGAATTCCCCAAGATCAAAGAGAAGGATAGAAACATAATCTCGCTCCCATTGCCCCCACCACTGGAAACCAAGGTAAAAACACCGCACTTCACAACTCTGACAGGAGAGGGTGCTTTTGAGCTAAAGATTATGTCAACCAGCTCATTTTGTCAACTTTGCCCAAGAAGTCTATAGATATAGTCATTCTTTGTCTATATGAACCTACTGTAAGATCAAATAGAATGGAGAATCAAAACATTTCCTTTAATGGAAATTCCTCTCTAGAAAGCAACCATGAAAGAGAAAAAATTGTAACATAAAAAAATTATAAATTATACTGAATTAAATATCTTCAAGTAACATTGGAATATGAAAAACACCTTGAAGCATACATTCAAAAACTTAGGTTAGAATTGGGCCAAGAACCCAAAGAAGTGAAATGAAAGTTGACTGGACTCAGGAAAGAAACAGAATAAAATGGTGGACTTTTATGTTTTTTGTTTAGAAATACACAGTGAATTACAAAGTGTCAAAGTGAGAAGAGATTTGAATGAAAGTGTAATCAACACCATTGAAGAAGGGCAGGGCAATGACACAAATGCCAGAGGGTCAGAGAGAAAGTGGTCAAAATGGAAGACAGGCAAAGAAGAGCCAGCATCTGAATAATTGGCGTACTCAGAGAAGGAAAACAAAGTGATGGAACAGAACTGATGTTTAAAATTACAATCCAAGAGAACATTCCGTAAATAAAAAATAACCTGAATTCTACATGGTGAAATTGTCCAGAATGGTGATCTCTAAGACATAGCATAACAGAACTGCTTTATATAATATAAATTCAGAGGAGGTAGGGATCAGGAGAGGGAGGCCCTGTGAAAGCACAAGGAGAGAAGAGGAAAGGAAAGATGCTCCCTGGTATGATGCCTGTGCAATTCCCAGTTTGCTTTGACCTGAACCATCCTTAAAGACGTTTGAAATTAATCTTGACTTTTCGTCTCAGTGCTTCTGGTCTTTTTTCAGAGTTTTACCCTAAACAAAAGTATTTTACTGTTCTCTGAAAATTTGCTAATATCTTGTTTGCATTCTCCACTGTCCAGGGCAGCATGTCTGCCCTCTAAGACACCTTTTTTATTATGTTTTTTATAATTCTCATATTTTCTCATGAACTTCATTCATCTTTGGATACCTTTATCAGTCTTTCAGCTGAGAGACATTAATTAATTTGCTTACTAAGCATTTATTGAGCAATTGCATGTTCTAGTCACCGAGAATAGACAGTGAGCTTAAATAAAGTCCTTAGTCCCAGGGAAGACAGACAATAATAAGGAAAAACTTCATCCTCCCCCTTTTGGGGGACACAGTCAGATAAAAAGAAAATGCATATACAATGTAATGTTAGATAATGCTCTGAAGAAAATGAAGAATGGCAATATGGAGAGTGAGGAAATAAGGGAGCGACATTTGTTTTTACCTGACTGGACCAAAAAGCCTCTCTGACATTTGAGCAGAGATCTACATGCATCAAGGAAGACAGCCCTGGGGCAGAGTAAACTTGGCATGTGTGAGCACAAGCAGGACGGACTGTGTGGCTGAGGTCAGGTGAGAGAAGGGGACAGTAGTAGGAGAGAAGGTTGGAGAAGCCTGGATTTTAGAGTTTTGTAGCCCTATGATTTGAATTTTGATTGAATTTGAAAAGTGAATATGTGTCTTTATTTACATTATCTAAAATAGAAAAGAATATACCTCACAAGGATACATTAGTTGCTAAAAAGGTGCCAGTATGCACGTGTATTAGAATTATGCATGGATTTTAGATTGTTTTGTGAAAAATTTTAAAGTACCAATATAGAAAAGCATATTCAGGTTAAATAACTTGCCTAGGATCCATTAGTAATTTAGTTGCATTGCTAAAAATTAAAGCATAAGAAATTAGTCTTCCTATCTTTTCGACCACTTGATTATTTATTAGTCCAATGAACTAATGTTTTAGAAAAATTGTTACTGATGTAAGAATTTTGGTTCATCGATTTTTGTTAAAGTTAACACTTAGGTAGGGTGTCAGTCTTACAGATATTCTTCAGGCTAAGTAAACAAAATACTGAGTTTAAGATACAAGAAAAACCAGGAAAGAGCAACATCACGTGACTCTATCTATATGATGCACGGAGAAGGATACAACATTACTTATTTAGTATTCCTGACAAAAATCAGTATTTCCAGCTAATCATGAGGAATTATCAGGCAAGTACAAATTGTGGGCAGTGTAAAAGAACAGTTGATTTGAACTTTCAAAAGTATCAGTGCCATGAAAAACAGACTGAGAAACTGTTCCAGACTAAAGAGACATGACAACTACAATAGGTGATTGGGGATCAGAAAACTATTACCTACAGAAGACATTATTGGTGCAGTTGGTCAAATCTGAATATAGATTATACATTAGGTTGTAGTGTTGTATCTGTTTCCCAAATTTTGTAATTGTACTCTGGTGAAATAAGAGAATGTACTTGTTTATAGCAAATACATACTGAAGAATCGAGAATTGAGGTCATGATGTGATGTCTGGAAGTAACTCTCAAATAAAGACAGAGTATGTATGAAAAGAGAGAAGAAACAAAGGTGGCAGAATTTGTGAATGTAATAAATCTTGGCAGAGGGCATTATGAGTTCTTCGTATTCTTGCTAGTCTTCCCTTAAATTGCAAAGTACTTCAAAACAGAAAAGTTAGTAGTAATTAGCCAAGAAGGAAGATCATTTATTATATATAAGATGACACTTTAAACTCATACCATGATCTAACAACTAACAAGGAACTCCCCTTGGAGGTGTGTTATTATAGCTGAGTTCTATCAGAGTATAAATTTCTGACAAAAGTTCAATTAGATTCTATGAAGTCTTAACAAAAGAGCAAGAGAGAACACGTTTCTGGAATCTCCAAATGCGGAGACAGGACTGTCAAGCCTGGGAAAAAGTCCTGTGATCCAGGATCAGACAGAGGTTGATGCCAGATAGGAAATCCCAGCCTATGTAAAGGCCCTGGGGAAAAATAGAACTGGTGTCTTAAAGGGCGCCTTGGGGGCCATAGCGATATTGCACCTGACAATACGCACTGTGTCCTCCTCTTAGATCTTTTTTACTCAAATGACCTGGATTGTATTTTCCTAGTTTAGGGAAACTTTATTTCAATTGGAAGTTTTTGGCAAAGCACCATTTTTAAAAATATAGAAAGTAATTTTATAAGCATTGCTGCTAGACAGACCGATTCCTTCAAGTAAGTGATAACAGTTTTCTTTTCTCCTACTGTGGACAA